TCTCTCTCTCTGTCTGAATGTGTGTGTGTGTGTGTGTGTGTGTGTGTGTGTGTGTGTGTGTGTGTGTCCAGTGCTTTGCAACAATTCTTGGGTTTCTGCTGTTACTATGGCAACACTTAATAATTCTTGGCATATTCTCAAAGCTTGTTATAGCTATATTGTTCAAGGAAATTCAGCCATCAAGGCAAGGTTTAATTACACTTCAATCTCCTTTCAAGTTCATGAACATAATAAAAGCGTTATCTTCAAACCTGCTGTATTTGTAAGATCTGTATTTTCGCTTTCCACATGCAGCAGATGTTTTTGAGTGGATTTTAGTGAGGTCTTTGTGTCCATACTGCAGTTTTTCTAGTCATTTTTGAACTTATTGCTAGTCAGGATAATATGCTGTTATGTGACTGATATTTATTAACCAGCATTAATATTTACATAACAGCTTTCAATTGTGTTATATAACTTTGTGTTTGCTGTGAGACTTCTTCATTTACTTTTATAGTACAGTTCTTGTACTGATACATTTCACTCATGGCTACATATATTTTGTCTCATGCAGGTGTGAGATTATGCCCATGTTTGTGGTTCATTGATGCATCTGTCTATGTAGGCAGCATGTTAAGTCGTGATGCTGATGCATATGTTGTTCCAGAATTTCAATAATGCTGCAGCCGTCTGAGATCGTGTTTGTTGTCATGTCTCAGGTGGTTCTGATCAATGCGGTGAAGGACGTGGCTAAAGCGCTGGGTGACCTGATCAGCGCCACGAAGGCTGCGTCCGGCAAACCTCACGACGATCCCGCCATGTTACAGCTCAAGAACTCTGCTAAGGTAAAGACACTCAGAGCAGGATCATCTCAGTCATCCACACATCCAGTCTGTCTCCGCCTGAGGCCTTTAATAACTGATCTCAGTCAAAATGATTATTATGGGCTGCCAGACAATGTTAGGTGACCTGAAATCGAGTCAGTCCGTTTGACCTACAAAGTGAAGAACTGCTAATGATTTACACTCAGATTGGTGGTGTTATTGTTAACTAAGACTAAAGCTAAAACTGTACACATTTTTTTAAAAAGAAACATTTAAAATGTTTTCGGTAATAGAAATAAAATAGAAATAAAATATCAATATTAGATTAAAAGCTTAAACTTAAAGAACTTTCACATGGATGCTAAGGCAACATTTCTCATTTTAAGTACTAATAAAAATTATAAAATCATATAACAGAATTACTAAAACTTAAACTAAAATTAAAATGAAAACCGAAAATATGAATACTAACTTAAAATATTAATAAATACTATAATAGTATAAAAAAAAACTAAAATAACGCTTACTTGGAATACTTAACACACACAAACTAGAGAAATTGTGTATTTCATATAGTATATTAGTTAAATTATATTTTTATAATTATATTTGAAGCATATGGGATATATATTCACAATAAATTCATGGCTATTTTCTGGTAATTATTCATTTATCAATTAAGTTTCTATTGTGCTTTTTATTTAGGTAGTGTGTTTCCTAAAGAGACTGTCAGTAGATTGTGTGTTTTAAAAAGTTTGTAGGTTATTATTATGTATTATTTGATTGTTTATATATCCTTTATAGATCCCATATTTCTACTAATGATGCACAGTATGCTGATGACCAGTTTTGCTCATTATTTGGATAATTATTTTAATTTGTTTCTTTTTAATTAATTAGTCTGATTTGGCTTACCAGGCAACTCTTTTTCTGTGCCAAGCTATATAAATTTATAATACTGGCTAACCTTACATATTATCAGCCTTTCTGTATTGTTGCGTTCATATATTACTCTCCTTTGATTGAGCGCTTTAAGCACTGTCTTCTATGACATAGCACCATAAAGTCATAATGCATAAGTGTGTCAAGAGTTCTGATGTGTGATGTTTCTGTGGGATCAGGTGATGGTGACAAATGTGACGTCTCTACTGAAGACGGTGAAGGCCGTGGAGGACGAGGCCACTAAAGGCACACGAGCACTAGAGGCCACCATAGAGCACATCAAACAAGAGCTGGCTGTAAGAGACACGCTCCCACTGAACTGTGCTGGAAATATGCACAGCCATTTAAATCACTACAATACAGTGAAAAAGTATATTATTAGATATAAAGTCCACTGGGATGAAGACGAAACATCATATGTTTTGCTGGTGTTCAGGTGTTCAGCAGTCCAGATCCTCCTCCAAAGACCGCCACTCCAGAGGAGTTCATCCGCATGACCAAAGGCATCACGCTGGCCACGGCGAAAGCAGTGGCTGCTGGGAACTCCTGCCGTCAAGAGGATGTGATCGCCACTGCTAACCTGAGCAGACGAGCCATCGCTGACATGCTGCACTCCTGCAAGGTCAGACCACTCTCATGCACACCGTGCATATTAATGCATATTAATGACTGCATATGCACTTCATAAGGGGTCATATCATATGAAATCAAATTTTCCTTAATCCTTTAAAATGCATGCAATTTTGTAAAACTTGCAATTTTGTAAAACTAATTACTTTATTCCAAATTATGCTTCATTAAGCAAAATGCAGCTATTTCAGAATAATTAAACAGATTGAAATCTAGTTTGTAAAATGATGCTATAAACTCAAAATTGCATTCTAGTATGTTCATTTATTTATGATTATATTTTATATATTTGTGTTCTATGTGTAGCATTATATTTTTTTTTTAAGTAAAATTATTTAATATGCTTATTTTCTAAACATGCAACTTAAATTCAACAAATAGTTGCTTGTCAGCTAAAAATAGAAATTAGTTATAGACAATGTCCAGTGTGGAGGGATAGAATTTAGAAAAGCATGTAAAAAATAATTTCCATATCATTTATTTAGTGACTTTAGTGAGTTTAATATTAAAATTAAAAAAATGGAAAGTAGTCATATAGAATGAGTGTTCAAACTTTGACTTCTAGTGTATATGTGTTTCTGTTAACCTGAAGTGGAAATCTTTTTTCTGCTGTGTTGTTCAGCAAGCGGCGTTCCACCCGGAGGTGAAGCGAGACGTTCAGGCTCGAGCGCTGCGCTTCGGCTCGGAGTGTGCCACAGGATACCTGGGTCTGCTGGAGCACGTGCTAGTGGTGAGTGTCACACACACACACACACACACTCCTTTAGTGGGGTCATTAGGGTTAAAGCTGTGTGAAATAACTGCTGCAGCCTTTGGTCCTGTGATTTTAGGGGCACGCTGAAATGTCACATATTTCACAAACTCACAGTATGTTTTGTCACTCAGTGGGTCAGTGACTGAAATATTTGTCTAAAATGTATTAAAGGGTAGTTAAAATAAGATAAAACAGAGGTAGTTATATATTTTTTATTTGTAAAGTACATTTGAGTTGTCGAATGTGGGATGTTGAGATCGTAATGAGGTAAAGTGTAGATCGTTGCTATGCAGGACTGAGAAATTCATTTTATACTTTACCTTCATGTGTTTTCTGTTTTCTCTGTGTGTGTGGGTTCGCTGTGATAGCCGGTGAGTTAAAGGTGACTGATTGTGCATGTGAAACCTCTTAACATGACTCAAAAATTACATAATATAATGTGTGCTGCAGTGCTTCTCAACTGGTGGGTTGCAGATCTTTATTTGTTTCCATTTCCATCTTTTTTTTTTTTTTTGCACCATTTTGACTTTGACTTTTGTCATGTATAATCTGTAGACTCTCATGACAAAAAAAAAATGTTTCATAGAGTTCATATTTTACAGATCATTTTACAGATATTAGCCAGTTTGTCTAATTGTCAAATCTTCTAAAAATCCACCAGCCAACAAAGCTTGGTACAAAGCATTAAAAAAAACAACAACTCTGCAACCATTTCATTGAGGAAACAGAAATTTGACATGAATCCTGATAAATCGTTATTTTTGCAAATCATTAATTCGCACTGTATGTCTGTTGTCTTGAAGTAAAACCACTGGTAAAATCTATTAATGTAGTAACTGGTGTGATTTCATTATCATGGTCGTTTTCAAGAGAGTGACATTTAAATGCATTCTGAGACCTATATTAATAGCATCTTGATTAGTCAAAATGCTTTGTTTACAGGTTCATTTGTTAAAGTTTTCAGATAAACTGAATGAAATGTCATTGAATGGTTTGCAGAAGCATTTAACATTTTGCCATTTGCTACATTTTAGACTTCACTGTGATCACGTATTTTCCTTTGGATTGTGAGTGAGTGGTATCGGTCAGAGAGAGCCGATCCAAATCCGAGATTTTTTAATTTATTTTTTTTTCCCGATTGTGCGAATTATTCTGTGCTAGGCTACTTCTGAAGCCATGCGATAGCTTAATGTGAGCTACATATGAATATTTAAGTCCTTACATTAAAGTTCACACAAACTCTTTTCTCCGCTGTGGCTGTCAGTCATTCGTTCAGCCTTTAAAGTTT